GTATTTTCTGCAGAGTGACGTCACTTCCCAACTCGGATTTCTGCAATTAAAAAGCAACGGAAGTGATGGGATCTACCTTGTTCGGTAAGTTATTAGTTTCCATACTTATTTCTTTCATATTCTAACCTGGCACGTGGTTAAAGCGTAAAAAAACACATAATTTGTTGCCGATGCCTTTTGTGTGCGTTTGCTAAGCTTCGTCCTCCTTGAGCACGTGGCGCCATTATCTCATGACTTTTCAACCTCTATTATAAAGTTTGACTCGACCATAAATATTTATCTACGTGAAGTGTCCTGCTCTTTTTCCCCTAATGTTACTTGTCCTGGGCCACCGAGTCAACATAACTGATAAGCAGGTAATCGGGAGAGTTTGAACGGACCGCTTCGTTCATATACTGAGGGCTGTAGGAAAAAACATCATGGCGTCAGTCCGCATGTCTACTACTGAGGAGAAGTTTAGCTGCTGGCAACGAGTAAAGCTGAGTGGGAATTAAGTTTTTCAGCACATAAAATTATAACATTTAAAAACTTGAGTTCTATGTTGTCCTTTTTAAAAAGCCAGATTAAAGAAAATAAATGCATTAATACTTTGTATCGCCAAACGTGCAAAGCTTACTGACATTTTCCAACACAGCCATGAGAGGCAGCTGGTAATGGGAGTTAACCATTTAATTTTCTTTTGGAATCAATTAAATATTTTTGAATTTAATAATTTCTTTTTAATCCATAGCTGGAATCTAACTGACAGCAGAATCTAGAGCAGGGGTGGGCAACTCCAGGCCTGGAGGGCCGGTCTCCTGCAACTTTTAGATGCGTCTCAACTTCAACACACCTGAGTCAAATAATGAGGTCGTTAGCAGGACTGGAGAACCTGACTGCACTGAGGAGGTGATTCAGCTGTTGGATTCAAGTGTGTTGGACCAGGGAGACGTTAAGAGCTGCAGGACACCTGACCTCGAGGACCAGGATTGCCCACCCCTGCTCTAGAGGACCAGGAGGCACTGAAGTGGTCTAGTTAATGTAAACTAGTTAATGGTTTCTTGTGGATGAACAAAAAATCTAAATGTTCAGTCTGATCTATAGTAGCATGTTGTTATTGAGCCTGTGGTTTATCTTAAGCTACTGTAAACACTGTCTTTTCCTTCACTCTGGATCATCAACTACAAAATAATATGCAGCTGGTCATATTAATAGCACATTCGTTGGTATCGCAGCACAAACTACTGGGTGATGTTCTGTTTAATTCAGTGTTAATTAAATTGCCAGTTAGATCTAATGTTTATCTTATTATTTCAAGGTCCTTCAAAGAGTTGTTGATGCTGATGGCTGTGAGCAGGAAGGACCTCCTGTAGCAGTCTGTGTTACAGCCTCTGACTGAAGACACTGTTTATCTGATCAAGAGGATGCTCAGAGTTGGTCATACTCTTTCTTAATGGACATTATTGTCTTTATGTGAATGTTTCCTATTTGATTAAAGTAATGATTGTTTTTTTTTCTCATATGTAATTTCAGGTGACAACTTGAAAGTCATACAGAAATGTCGTCTGGCTGAAGATGTCAGACCTCAAAGCAGAAGCCCAAGAGGATCAGGTAAAAAGTTTTTGTAAGGCAGTAATTAGGATTATTAGCTGCAAAGAGAGAGAGAGCTGTTCAAGGTTTCTTCAGTTTGATCCCTTTATGTTGCTTCAATGTGTTTAGGAGTTACTACAGACCACTTAGAAATACATGATAATCAAGTATTATTGGACAAAATTTTGATTAATTGAATAAATCACACTGATGTTTATGCAGGTTTTTAATTAAATGTTTTTGTTACAGGTGAACTGAGATCATTCAGATTCTGAGGAAAAGCCACAGGTCCAGAAAATCTCCCCCATGACCAGCAGCTCCAGCAGCCACAGCCTTCCACCTGTCCTCCACCTTCACTCCCACCTGTCCTCCACCTTCACTCCCACCTGTCCTCCACCTTCACCATCTCATCCACCAGCTGCTCTGTGTTCACCTGTAGCTGTTTAGTCCAACCAGTAACTCCACTAACCGACTCCCTTCAACTGGAAATTCCTCTATCAGGTAAATTTAACCAAAATGTAAAAACAGTGACTACACTTTGTGTATGTATCATATTTTTAATTGAATTATTTGTAGATGTAGGGCATTTTTGGATTTGATTAGTTGATGACATGAATAAGAGAGCAACATGTAAATAAAGGTTTGTGTGGTGGGAGTTTTGTCTGTTTTAGTTTTCCTGCATTAATCCAGGTGAGCTGCAGCAGAGACTCATCTAAAGCAGGACAGAGGGTCCTGACCTGCCGGGCTGAACACCCCCAGTCTACATTGTAATAAATTATTTTACATTACAGCGTTTTTTTTAATCATTCTTTGCAGACTGAAGCATTCTGTGTAACGTCTTCAAAGCCTTAAGGAGTTGAAGGAGTTTGCCTGGGAAACCCCGGGATGCTGCGAGCCGTTCTGACCCGTCTGGTTCTGCTGAAGAGATGGACTCACTGGATGAGCTCGGCCTTCCAGCCTTCACTGCAGAGAAGTTAGAAGTCCTGAACCAAAAACTGGAATCAGGAGCTGTTCAGAAATAAATGGTACGTATAATTTTTTGAAAACATAATTAGCCTTTCTCTTCACATTATTCTTTCCTTCCATCAGGTGCAGTACTGTTTAAATATTAACTTTTAAATTCTCTGTGTTACTTTTTTAGCTGGATCTCAGAAGGACCTGATCTGCTGTCTGCAACATTTTATCCAAGATCCTTTCAAACCACCAAGCAGAGCAGCAGAGATCTATTCAGACTGGGTGCAGAGAGAAGTCTTTCTGGTCACCAGCTCTTGATGACTGAAATATTTAGTAAGTATAATCTCATCCATCCATTTTCTATACACCCTTGTCCCTTTGTGGGGTCAGGAGGTTTGCTGGTGCCTCCCCAGCTAACGTTCTGGGCGAGAGGCGGGGTCACCCTGGACAGGTCGCCAGTCTGTTGCAGAATCTCATGTGCCTTTCAGTCTAAAATTGTGTGAATTGTTGTATATTATCCTATAGCTGGACTTTATGCATGTTTCTCTGTAGCCAATGAAACGTTTTGTTTCATAAAACCATGAATGATACACGTCTCAGTTTAAAATATATATATTTTGTCTGTTTTTCAGAGGCTGTACCAAAGAACCAAGCGTCTGATTCAGAACACCAAAAGTTTTAAGGCTCAAGGTTGTCTGAGTTTTTTTTTTTTTTTTTTGTTTTTTTTTTGTGCATGTGTCAACGCTCATAAAATAAGTTCTGGTGTAAATATTTCTTTTAAAATTATATTTTTAAGCACCGGGTTACTTTGCTTTGATTTTTTTGTTATTGTAAATGTCTTTTCTAAAAACCCATTGTATTAAAATGTATACTGTGCTGTTTTACTTTGTTCTAAGAAGGTTTCATGTCTTTTTGGTACATATGTATACATAAATGTGATTATCATATTTTGTTGTGGGTAGTCTTTAATGTTAATACTATAAAATTAATAAGTGTTTTTAAGTGGGTGTCATTGATTTTACAATTTATTACATTAGATTAATATGTCTTGGAAACAGAAGACAACCGTTCCATGTGAAAACAGTAAGTGTGGGGCCAGCTTTCCTTTTCTACAATGGATTAATATCCCATGGTAATGGAAGACGACTGTTCCTCATGAAAACCTTTCATTCCAATAAAATTGCTGCTATGTTAGCATTTCCACGGACCTAGCATAACCATTATATAGCTTTTGATTTTTGAATTAAATGCGAATGTCCGCTGAAAGTAATCAGTGGACATTCAAATGAAAGTCCACCAAAAGTCTAATGGTGGTCGATTTTGAGTCCGGTGAACGTCCCGCGGACGTCTTGTGGAGTTTCATTTCGACGTCGATCAAACGTAATCACTGACGTTCGGCGGACGTTCAAGACAACGTTTAGCGGACGTGCTCCAAACATTCAATGCTAGCTGGGTCATGCAGGGTGCTGGGCAGGAATGTGGGCTGCAGGCCAACCACAGCCTGTCCTTGACGGCTTCTAAACAAAGCCCAGCTCGGCCCGTTTCCTTCGCCCGAACACTCGGTCCGGTTTACGGCACACAGACATGACATCTGTCCATCTGACTGCAT